TATTAGTGAGATAAAACATGCGATTCACGTTCTTTGAGACATTAAAAACGCCTCCCACATGCAAGCAGTTTTTTGGGATCACTTTATAGATATTTGGTACTAAAGGCCAAATAGCCAGAATATTGATATATGTTCCCTTTTAAAATCAGTTGCAGAATAGCATTAAATTAATGTTAACAAAGACAGATGCTAATACGGACCTAGACAATCATAAATAAAATTATTAGAGCGTGTGTGTGGTGGGGTCTTTTAAGGAAACAATTTTTATGAGAATCTAGAAATGTGCCAAAATTCTCCAGTTTGTCTCTCAAGCTTGTTTGGGCAGAGGCTCTTAACCCAGCTCTCCACAGCAAGCAGTGTGACAAGACATTAATATGCAGTGCCGCAGGGTGGCTCAGCATTCATACCTTCATAAATAATTTGAAAAACGTATGGTGGGGAGTACAGAACTCCTAGGGAGATTATTGTTGGACAGCCTGTTATGTGCTCCCAACCTCTGCAGAGATCACTGCCAGGTTTCCTCCTCTTTTAAATAATAGAAGCATCACTGAAGAATAAAACCAGATTTTCTGTATTCTTTCAGCTAAGAAAAATACACTTAAAAACCCCTGAAAACTCTGGGCTGCGTATATATATTTTTTAATAACGTTTATGTAACAGTAGGGTGCATTAGCTGACAGCGAGTCGCTAACACCCTGCCTCTAAATTGGTGCCTGTGTCGGGAGGGCAGTTCGCTGTTGTCAGCTGCTGTCAAATCCAACTCCCAGCAACTGAGAGGTCACAGTTTAGGATCCTAATAATGCGGCAGCTTTTTCTATGTCAGTGCACCAGATGGGGTTATTTTCTCACAAAGGTTATTGTTTGCTCACTGTAAAAATAATTCAAAAATAAAATTAAAGAATGAAAACTGTGATTCAACCATCTACAAACTCACTCAGAAGAGCCCCAAATTGTAAGATGGGTCAACAAGTAAATGTAAGAGTGACAACACTTTTAATGCACATCAGGAGGAAGAAAATTCAGTGCAAAAAGCATAGATTAAGAATAGCAAAAACTGCTTTACTACGCTTAAAAGCAGAATCTGCAAGTCAGTCCAACCTATGAAAGGGTCATGAATTCAGTGATTTCAGGAAAAAGCAATTCAAGACAGTTCCTGTAAAAAGAAAACTAACAAGTTGATTTACTGCAAGTGCAATAAATGATTAACAGCAATGCAACTCTCAAACTAGTAGCTATAAAATAAACCATTGATATTTAAGAATTGCGACACAAATGAGCACTGAATGTGGCATATTGACTAGCACTGGGAACATGGCAAGGTTTTGGCAAAGTATATCAATACAAAATTACTACATATTTGTGAAAAAGTGTTGCAGAGTCCCTAACGTTCACACAGAAAAGACTATGTCTACCTTTAAGCACCCAGCTTGGAGATCCAACCCAGTAAACCAGAATTAAGTATGTTTACATATAGGACTGAATAATTCCCACCATTACTTCCATTCAAAACCTGCCAAAGTACCTAGATATTTTAGGTAATCTGACTGAACCACTGGCCAACCCCACCTGGCAGAACTCTGCCTTGCCTCTTCCCTAGTATTCACTGGGAAAAAAACCCAGTCCTATTTACAGTATTTTATCACAAAAACACTTAGCAAGCGAGCATGTACTGTGGCCTTTTTTGGAAACAAAAGCCACCACAAAACCCTCAAAGCAATTACGCAGAAGTAAAGACAAATTGCAACGTACTCAACAGTATCCCCCCAAACGACCGTATCTTCCAGTAGTCATTAAGTGTGTTGCATCCTCGATGGGCTTCCCTGCCTGGAACCGGGATGGCTGAGTTGCCCATCGAAGGTATGCACAAGATGCCAACCAGAGTGGCATGTCTTCATTTAGCAGCACAGATGTTTTGCATGCAATCAAGGCTGGCTACAAAAGAA